GATAGATAGATAGATAGATAGATAGATAGATAGATAGATAGATAGATGATAGATAGATGATTGATAGATAGATGATAGATAGATGATTGATAGATAGATAGATAGATGATAGATAGATGATTGATAGATAGATAGATAGATAGATAGATAGATAGATAGATAGATAGATAGATAGATGAGCAAATAAATAAAATCTTCCTTACCCACTCATGAAGTCCCCAAAGATGTAGAGGCCATTGAGATTGGGGGATTCACACCCACGGTAGACATACCCTCCAGTGACCGACTTTCCCACATCATGGCCATAAGCATAGATGGGCAGAATGTCATCTGTCAGGACCAAGACAAAAGAATAGAGATCCTGCCTGAGTGGAGAGTTCTAAGGAATCAAAAGTGGGCTTCATAATGAAACTGACTGACTGAGCTTTGGGCCATTAGTAAGACAGACAACTGAATCAAGTGTTTTTGGGTTGTTTTTCTTTGGTTTTCTCTCAGCACGGCATGCAAGCCTCCCTGACACCTGGTTCCCCTCTTAGACTTTCAGGCCACGTCCTCGGGTGTTAGCATATGGGAAGTCTTAAGACATGGGTGGAGGTGGAAGGATCAATAAGCACAAAGCCAGCCTGGGTTATGTGAGACCCTAACTCAAAAGGAGGAGGAGAGGGAGAGGGAGAGGGAGAGGTGCTAGTCAGCCTTCAACTTGGAAGGGGTGGAGCCCCAGAATACCCCTTGATTGTTGATTTTGAGGGGCTGCTCTCTTCCTTGTGTATGTGGAATACCGTTTTAGTGGATGTCCCAACGGGGAGACTGTTTTTAGTGCATGCAGCCATCAAATGAGCCCTACCAGTGGTTCTTAAAATAGTATGCCGAAAAGCCACTCAAGGAACTCCTTTAAAGTACAGTTAGTTCCTGTACCCCAGCTCACCCAAAAATGTACATGCATTATGCCTGGCACACACCATGTGAATCCATCTTTTTAAAAAACGTTTTACATTTATGGGTGTGAGCACTTGTCGTGAGAACAGCTCTCAGGAGCTGCTTCAAGTCTTTCGTCACATGGGTCCCAGGATCAACTCGGGTCACCAAGTTTGGCATCAAGCACCTTTACCTCCTGAGCCTTCTCACTGGCCCCAAATCAATATCAGTTGGCTTTATTTTCTGTTCCAGAGTTGGTCAACATTCCATTCCACAAAACAGAGCTAGTGTTCCAGGGATGTGAGCAAAGGGAGTTGCTACAGAGAGAAGGGCTTTGTGAAAAAGAAAAGGCTAGGCGTTCCTAGGACTAAGGAAGCTGAGGCTGGAGGATCACCGATTCAAGGTCAGGGTCGGTTCAGGCTTATTCAGACCCTGTCTCAAGAAGCAGAAACAAAAACAAGTCACACAGTAGCCATTTAAAACTCTGTGTTTGTACAGCGGCCACATAGAGACAGAACGATATAGGAAAACACCTGATCCGCTAACGTTAGGGAGCAACTCCCCACCCCCTGCAGGGTGCCCAGCTGGCCTTGAACTCCCTATGAAGCCCAAGTTGGCCCTGAGGTCACAATCCTCCAGCCTCTGCCTCTAGGACTGGGATTCTAGGCAAGTACTACCACACCCAGCAGAGATGGACTTTCTAACAAGGACGGCCACGGTGTGTCTGGTGCCACTGTCTGGGGCAGCAGAGGTACCACCCCACACCCCCACCCCCACCCCACAACCCCAC